TCCAATAGCCTTGGGGCATCCTGGGGTGTCCCTCAACAACCCTGGCTCTCCCCCAACAGCCCTAGGATGCACCCGTGGATCCCATGGTGCCCCTCCGTCATGGTGGGGTGCCCCCACAACTCCAGTGCATCCCATGCTGTCCCCCTCCCCTAATGTCGAGGGTGCCCAGAGTGTGCCCGACATTCCAGGGTGCCCTGCAGTGACCCCCGACAGCCCAAGATGTCCCCCACAACCCTGATGCATCCGATGGGGCCCCCGCAACCACCCATGGTAGACCACCTGGCAGCCCTAGGGTGTCCCCTGACATACCAGGGTGCCCACAGCGAGCCCCAGCAGTGCCAGGTCACCTTGTGGGGACAACCCCACAGCCCTGTGGCCACCGGGACCCCAACACCCAGCGTGCCCACAGCGAGCCCCCCATGAGCCTGCTGCTGGCTGGGGGCCACCGTGTTGCCTCCTGGTGCCTGAGGTGGCAATATCGCGTGCGAAGCACCGCAGGAGCCTCCAGCACCATCTGTGCTGGGGCAACGCAAAAGCAGATGCTGGCTCCATGGACCCCTCGTTCCTTAAAAACATGTTTTGCTTTTTCATTGTTTTATTTTTATTTATTTATTTATTTTTGCTTTTTAGCCCATGATGCTACTTAAAAGAGTCCTGCCTGTAATTAAACTGCCTCATAAATCACACAGCAAAATTCATGTGAACTCGAAGAGTGGCTGACTCCTGCCATGTGAAGAATGCCTTTTATGAACATGGCTTCTGCATTCTGCAATACTTTCAGTGTTACTTCTAGCTACATTTTCTTTCCTTATAAAGCTTAGCCCCCTAGACAACTCTGCCTCTGAGCCCTGAGTTCATAGAAGTGTGTTATAAATAATAAATACTGTCTTTGTAGCACCAGCCTTGCTCTGGGCTATATCCTACAAGCTCTCCATGCATGAAGCTCTCTTTGAAGAGGAGGAGCACGAGGAGTTCGCAGGGCTGTGCTTTGCGTCACAGCGTGGCTCTTCAGCCTTCAGCTGGGCCTGGGTAAGGCCCCGAGGTCTACAGTCATTCCTGTGGGATATATGTGGCTTTAGTGGGGAGAGAAAAGGATGAAAAGGTAGGAAATAATGCTGCTTTGATGTACAGGATGGGCTTTTTCTATATGAACCTCTGCATGGTCTCTGGTCGGCACTTTTACCCAGGGCCCCGTGTCCCCAGGTTCAGCGTGCTCATCCAGGCTGCCCAGCCTGGAGCAAACGTGTTTTACCCGCAGGTCCTTTGGGAATTAGTTGGTATATTGGACGGTGGGTCTTGCCATGGTCTCGAGGCTCGGTAGAGCCCCCCTGGCTCAGGCTGCGCGGCACTCGCGTTGGGTGCCTTCCCGCACGGCCAGCGCTGCTCAGGTGCAAGGAAAAGCGCCGTCCGTGGGATCCGCGCAAGATTCCCAGTTGCCTGAGGGAAAGTTGGGTGAGTGAGATGAAGGTGCTGCCACGGGGCTGTGGGACTCATGGTGCCTGCCCTCTGCAGCCAGCTCCTGGGGATGCCTGCGGTGGGACACGAGCTAGGTGTTGCAAGAGGGATGTCAGTGATGTGCCCGTTTGCTTGGACCAGCTTTGTGCCCTGCTCCTGCCCAGCCTTTCTGTGCAAACGAGGGCCAGGAGAGCAGCAAGGTGCTTTGGCAAGGAGGGCTCTGCCGGCCCCGCCGCCATCCCCGGGCACGCGGCCTCGCACAGGTTGCAGCACGAAACAAAGGCAGTTCTTGCTTCAGATTCTTCAGAGATAGCAATATGTCAGGAGCCCCTAGAGAGGCTGAAAGTAAATGAATCAGTGCTAGAAAGTGAAGGATATCATCCGCACTGAATGGTGAAAAGGAGTCCTGAACAGTATCTTCATTGATTTTTCTGTAATTGACACAGAATCTCGGTTTGCCTGAGGGCTTCAGGACGGGAGGAGTGGGGAGGCCCAGGTACAGGCAGCTTCCTTCCCCAGAACCTGCAAAAATTCCTCCTCAATAAAATGCCTTATTTTTCATGTGAGCCTTGGAAAGAAGCAGTGGGTTGGTAATGCAATATTTTCCCTATTCACAGGGTATTTCACAAGCTGCATTAAAGGCAAGGGGCAGAGAGAGCCCTGTCTTATGCCGTAACGCTACCAGCTGCTTTCCATCATCCTTGCAACAGCCAGCAAGACATCAGTGTTTGGGGCAACTCTGAATTGTTGGCTGTTGATAAATATCTGTTCTTAAGTGAGTGTGTTTGGTAGAAAATACAGTAGTAACACACTGCAGGAATTTTGTAGGAATTACTGCTTTGATTAGATTGGAAGCTCTCAAAGGAGGATTCTGCTTCCATGTGAAACCTGCTCTGGCTGTGGCTGTAGTTCCTCTGTTTTGGGGTGTGCAGGGGACAGACAGCACTTCCAGGCAGCAGATCTGTTAGATCCTGCCCGGCCAGGAGCCATCCTTGGGCATAGATATATTTTTAAACATATATAAGAAAGGAGGACACGTCATTGCCCCTGCTCGGAGTGGCTTGTCCTGAGCTCCCCACGAGGGCTGCCCAGATGCAGGTTGCGTGTTGTGACACCTGCCTAGCCCTGGGCTCGTGGCTTTTAAGGCACCTACGGCCAGGGCAGCACAGCTCCAGGATGCCCTCAGCCTTCCTGCATCAACCGATCACCGAGCATCTGCAGGAGAAACCAGAGTGGAAGTTAGGGGGATTTTTAACCAATTGACTGCCCGTGCCATCTATAACCGCATCGGCGTGCTTGCTGGTGAGCCCACCACGGAGTGGGTTGCTGTGTCAGGGATGCAAGGGAGCTGCTAGCACGTTAGACAACATGTATCATCACTTAAAAAGGTCCTGCCACAGACAGACTGAACTGCAGGAGTTTATATTTTCACCAGGGGAAGAAGACACGTTTCAGCTGTCTGTCAGCACTGCCCTTCGCCTGCTAATTAATATCGAGTCGAGGTCCAGTTGTCTTACAGTTTGCATATATGTTGGCTGATTAAGATAAATATGAACCTCCTTAACCTTAAGCTACTAAATAGTGTTAAACTTGTAACTACTTTTGCTTCAAACACGGTTTTGTAAATATAAAATGTTCTTAAAACTGGGAACATCATATATAATAGCATCTGGCAGAAAGATCTGACAGCTAGAAGGAGGACATCCTCTTTCTTACATACCGTGATGCCAAACAGGCTTTTATTTTATTGTGTTTGGGCAGGAGAAAGTGATCAACATTAACATTAAAAATACAAGGACATCTAATTTGCAACACTTCTCTGTGTGGGGAAGAACTCCTTTTTTATAATGTTCAGTGATAACAGGCGAATCTATCACTCTTAATTCAGCAGCTGGAGCCCCCTCCAAGCTCCAGAAAACACGTATTTTTATTTAACACAAAGCTGATGTGATGGCTCTTAATAAACTAGACCTCCCGCCTGCCTCCCCCAACACCTTTGCTCTCCATGGAGGAGCTGGGGTCCCCCCGAGCAGCCGGGCACGGCCCTGCGGACACGGGATTTCTTCCTGCACTGTTGTGGACACTGCGAGCTCTCATAACCCCCTGTCTCTTCCCTTCCTTTGTCCCTTCTTGCTGTGGAGCTGGTTCAAAGCTCCGTGGAAAGAGCCTGGAGCCCTTCCTGGAAAAATTCCAAGAAACTCTTCCTTAGATGTTCCTTTCCCGCTGTACTGAGCAGCCTCTGGGCAGACTGACTCCTCCCAGGAGCCCACCAGCCTCTTGCCTCCCTTTGCA